CACTGCTTAGCCAAGGTCAGGTTGCCAGGGTAACAAGTCATGGTCAAGGAGAGACACCCACACATCCCTCTGACCAGTGGCACTCTTCAGAACCTCCTGGGGGATCCCAAGGCGTTCCACGTCCAGAGAGGATATGTAGTCCCTCCAGCAAGTTCTCAGTCTGCCCTGAGGTCTGCTCCCAGCAGGGTCGGATTTAGCCAGCCCTACAAAGGGGGGCAGGTAGAATATCAGGGGGTGCAGGTCTGGGAAATAAGTTTTCGTGTGTCACATACCCCCAAATCCTTAAAATGCATAGACAACTATACTATCATCATCATTACAGTTCTTCTATCCATATATCTATCTTTTCCTTTGATCCATTCCTTAGACTACCCTCTGCATTTACGGGCTTGAGATCGGCACAAATTGGACACTGGCTTGTTCCCTATTGGGGCTGCATTAATCTTTTTTCTATCTATCTATCTATCTATCTATCTATCTATCTATCTATCTATCTATCTATCTATCTATCTATCTATCTATCTATCTATCTATCTATCTATCTATCTATCTATCTATCTATCTATCTATCTATCTATCTATCTATCTATCTATCTATCTGTCTGTCTGTCTGTCTGTCTGTCTGTCTGTCTGTCTGTCTGTCTGTCTGTCTGTCTGTCTGTCTGTCTGTCTGTCTGTCTGTCTGTCTGTCTGTCTGTCTGCAGTGTTTTTATCTTTTTTATGTTTTTCAATCTATTTTATCCATCTTATTTGTCTATCCTTCCATTTTTTATTTTATTTTTTATTGTACTTATTTATTATTTATTTATTTACTTAGAATTTTTGTTGTTTTTATTTCTTTATGGCTTTTATCAGTCATTACAGCATCAGCCGTCTGCTTTCCTGTGCAAAAGTCCTAACAAATCCATCCATATCTAGGCCTGTTATGGCCATCTCGTGAGCCAGAGTGACTACATTTCTTTTTCTCTCATGTAGCGTAGTACGGCGAAACGGGGTAAGAACACGAGACAAAATGGAGAAAGAGCTCTCGCATGATGCTGCTGATATTCCAATCACAAGGGTGGTCACATACATGTGATGGAGCTGAGGTGTCACACCCTGTCCTGTCTTCTCCTAGGTTGTAGTCTGTGCCTCCGTTAATTGCTCCCACCTGCCTCTTGTTTCCCAATCACCCTAGCTCCCGTTCCTCATGTATTTAAACCCCTTCTGTTCTGTGTTCCTTGTGGTGTCATTGTTCCAGTGTCAGCGTGCGTCTTTACTTAATAAACCTGTGGAATTCATCCTACCTGTCTGCCTGCTTCCTCCCCGGTCTGGATCCTCGCCTTTGCTGCGCTTCACTCCGCGCACGTCGTGACATGAGGAAAGGCATTCTAATACCCGTGTAGATATTTGGTCTACAAACTCTTCACTGTTATCGTCATCAGTCTTTTTGAATTCTTTCTCCAACATTATTTTTGCAACAAGAATCTCATTGGAAAGTTTGTCACTGTCACTTCTTGTCATTTTCTGCAAAGGACTTAACACGTCAGGATCCAGAAAAGAAGGAGACTGAGGTTGAAGGCAGTTAACTGCTTTCATGAGATGGAGATTACTTTTGGAGAATCTTGTCTCCATCTCTACAATGACTATGTCCAAAATGTTGAGAAGAGCTCTCTTCAGAGCCTGGCTAGGAGTTGTGGAGTCTTCTGCATGGCCCACAGTGGACATTGCAACACTACCTGTTAGCTTGTTTTTTTGTCTTTTAGCAGCAGGTGCAGGTGTGCTGGTTAATGCCTCACTTTCCTCATCTCTCATCTGCCTCAAAGCCTGTAGAGATGCACTGACTACTGAAGCACAGCACAGGTCAACAGAATGAGACTGCAGCATAGAATTTGCTGACTTCAAGGAACCCAGAACTTTTAGGAGGAATTTTCCTATTTCAAAGAAATTGTCCCTCATTAACATCATCAGCAGTCCTGATGCCTCTGTACAGATATCAACAGCAGCAGCTCCGTCCTCTGTAACCCCTGACAGGATACACATAATAGCATCCTGATTTTCCACAAGGCACTTGGTCACATCATGGTGGCTTGTCCACCTGATTTCCAACAGTCGTTTCAAGGAGGGAACGTCATAGTTCTGTGAAACATAATGACGGTGGAAAAATGAGTGTAGAGATCCTGAAAGATCAAAAAAGGTTTTTGCACATGGCTCTGCCTGCATTGCATGGACCACTGCCAAGTGCAGCTGGTGGTTGAAGCAGTGGATGTAGGAAATATCCTTCCCTACCTTCTTCTGCAGTAAGGCCTAAACTCCACCCCTGACCCCACTCATGACAGAAGCTCCATCAGAGGTATGACTGATAATTTCAGCTGCACTATAGCCTGAGTCAGAGAGATGCTCAAGAATTTGGGTGGTAATAAATTTGGCGTCTAACTGACTGAGGTCAAGCACACCGATCAGGTGTTCCTCTGGAATTCCATTACAGACAAAACTAACCATGACTGACTGATTCTCCACACCTGTCCCTAGTTCCATCACTTTTAATGCAAAACCCAGCATAATCTGCTTTGTCATAATTATCTTTGATCTTTTTTAATACCATTTTTGCCAGTGTTGCAATAATTTGGTTTTGTATGTTGTGAGAGGTGTATTTTGCATTTTCTGGGATGTGTTTGTTTATTTCATTAAATTTGGAGTCTTTGGCCAGTGTGTAGTTGACCATTTTTAAGAACAGTCCTGCAGAGAAATCATCACCACTGGAGCTTTCAACACTGCCATGAAGTGGCAGTTCATTTACTGCTAGGAACTGAACTACTTCTCCAATTGATTTTACATAGTATCTGTTTTTCTCAATTTGTGTGGGACTTATTAAATTTCCCCTGTGGCCACTCTTTGGGACATTTCAGACCAGGCCTCTTCCTTTTTTATGTGGCATTGACTTGATGCATGCATTGGGAATCCCTTGTCCTTTTCCAGTGCTGTTTTCTAATTATTAAATCCTTGTTTTGTGAAAGCCAAATCCCCATCATTGTTCTTCCCCCCAAATTTACGACGTGGGAAACAAAAGCACGTATCCAGCTTTACTGAATATTCCAGCCATGGTCTCCCACGACACCAGGCAGGGCAAAATGAGCGCATGTTCTTCCCCAAATGGCGCTTGGGGAAAACAAGAGTGGTGGGTACAGTGACGGCTGGGTTGGTAGTGACGGGGACAGCAGGAGGGGCTGTGGTGCTTGTGCAACTGGTTGTGGCGAGTTGAGAAGCAGCAGCCGACGAGCCGGCTTCTGCCGCTAGTGCCTTAGCACTGTTGCTTGGTTTAGAAACCAGAAACCTGCGCATTGTCGACTCGGTTCACTTCAGTCACCATTTTTAGGGGGCATTGCCCCTCCTTGCCCATGCCTACATCCGGGCCCGGCTCCCAGTGGGACAAGCCTGGACAACCTCCAAAGGAAGGAGACCCAGAGGCTTCTCAGTCGGATTCCAGAGTAATCTCCACTGTGAAGTGGAGGAACAGTGGCTCTAATCTGAGTTCCTCACTTTATTTCCATGACCCCATGGAGGAAGAACTTTTAAGCCGCTCCGATGTCATTGTTTCGTATGAGAAAGTAAAACCAAGAGTGAAACTCATTCTAAACCCAGATAGAGCATTCTACCTTTTTCCAGTCAAGAATCATGAACATTGGGAGGAGCGGATTCTCCCACTCAGCTGTGAATCCCATCAGTGCGTGGCTATGGTGATCTGATCTATACGCATCTTTTCTTACACACTCTGAGTTTCCTTAGGATTTTTAAAATACTCACTCCATTATCTGCTATATGCCGTGGCTGGTCTGACTTAAGGCGCCAGGCTATTTTGGTTCAAATTAAAGTTTGTTTATGTTTATGTTTATGTGTTTAGCAGACGCTTTTGTCCAAAGCGACTTACAAGTGATAATCAGCATGTTGCCCTTGAGGCTAACAACAAGTTGCAATAAAGTTCTTGCTTTGAAAGACTCTTTGAGGCAAGGACCTCAGGCTGTCGATATCTCATCCAATTGATTGTAATAAAATTACTGATTATGTGTATTTTGATTGTTGTATCTTGTTCTGTCCATGTAGCGGGAATCCTAAATAAAGTTATCTTTCTACATTTTGGGCCCCAAAAGTGTTTCTTTCCAAAACTCTGACCAAAGTGGAGCATTTGGATGTAAATAACTGTAGTTTTATGTTTTACAACATCACTGTCTGTGATGAAAATACTCTGACATCCCATGTGACCTGAGTTTACATTTACTCGCTTGTTAGTTTTTACAAGCTCAATTCCTGCTCTGTGTAAAAGACCACAGACAAATGACGACACTAAGGAAGGTTATTTCCTAGTTATTCGGTGTTCAATGAATGTTTTTGGGTGAAGACAGAGACGATTTGGGGAACTGCTGCCACTTAAAAGCTTGGTATGACTGAGCGTCACTTTGCACTGGATACCAAAACCTGGCTACTTGTGTGCATGGCCTAAATCTCCATGGTATAGAGCTCCACCATTCCTGTTTCTGGTGGATGACTGAGTCACTTGAGTCCACTCAACCCTCTGAGTGTGCCGTTTTCAGATCTTTGAGTCACCATATAAACACACAATAACCCATAAAGCATGTTTTTATGAAAAAGAAAGCACACAGTTTTGCTTTGCAGCTCCCACTAGCACACACATCTATAGCAGCAACTGACAAAACCACCTTCTGATTTATGCAAAGCCTGTGTGCAGTGCTATTTCGGGTTAAAGTTGCATGTGGTTAAAGATCTCTAACCTTTGTTCGTTAAAATGTTTCACCGTTTTAATCAGATGTTCCAAACAAAATCCCCCAGAGGTTTAGACCTGAGACTTGATGCTCTCGAGCACAAACAATATATTTTTTCCCCTCAGAATTATTCTTTAAAGCTTATTTTTTTAGTTGCAAATTGTGCCTCACAGTGGCTAATGCTGTTCCAAAGCCCTGCTCACTCACTCACACAACCTGTGTCTCCTGTTTTGTTTGTTGCAGCTGGGTACAGAGTGGACTGCTCCAGGCGAGTTTACCAAGTTCAGGTCCCAGTCCTCCAAATCTGTGCAGTAAGTACCGGTGACATCTGCCCAAATATCCTATTGACACATTTATTCCGCTGCAAGACAGACACCATAAGAAGGCACAAGCGGAGTGTCCCACTGAAGTAGCTCTTGGGACAGGTCCTGTGATGTCTTTCTAACAGTCTGTACCGGTCATATTCTGTTTTCATTCACAGTCAATAGTGTATTTTATGGCAGTCAAGTCAGTTTCATAGCTTTAGGAGGCTTTTACTCCCCACATGCATGAGTACATGACTCAAGTGTTCACTAGAGTAGAAATCAGACATCTACAGCTATGTCTATACGCTGATACACCAGATGGTTGCTTCCTCAGATCCATCAAGAGGAGCTCTTTAAGAATGTCTTCACAAGAATTGGTACTTTCAATAAAGTACTTAGCAACTTAGTGAATGAGTCGTCCATCTGTCACCATGTAACTCAAAGTTAGATTAAAACAAAGTTTTCACACGGAGGAATAAAAGCCTTATGTTAAAGCTTCCTCCTCTATCTTTACTTGGCTTAGTTAGAAGCACTATTAAGAACTTTTGAGTAAAGTTAAATGTATCTGCAGCAGGTCATCCAGCTTACATGCTTTGGTCACAAATGCATTAACTCACAAAAAGAACACAATCAATGAATAGCACGGCTAAAAATGTGGGTAGTACCCGCTGTAAAATCCCCTGTGATGATTCCTGATTGATACACACTCTTGGTTTGAGCTCTAAGTGGTGCCAGGTGTCCGTGAGTGAGTGAGTGACTAACATCAAAATGCTGGTTGAGCGTCAACAACTACTGGTTGATCAGAATGAAAGGGGAGGAGCCAAGCTGTTGTGACTGCAAATCAATCTTCTACACTACGGAGTCTACTGACAATGCCAAATAATGTTTTCAGTTTATCTGATGATGAACCCAGTGGTCCTATTGATTTGGGTTTCCACTCTTGTGGTTTTGCTGTGACACTTTTAATGAATGAAAATTAGATGAGAATAAACATCTTTAGAAATCGTAGGGTTACGTCATGTAAACCCCGGTTCTTTGAGAACAGAGTGAGGTGTTTCACTATGGGGATCGTCCTGGCGTTACCAACTACGGAATCTCCAATGACATCACGTCTGTCCCTGACAGACCGGTTGCGCCGTGCCCAGGCTCCGCCCACCCAGTATATACACGGCCAACCAACCCCTCCTACTCATTCGGACGATTTATTACCGTCAATGCAAGATGGGAATTGTTGGTGAAACACCTCATACTGTTATCAAAGAACCGGGGTTTACATAACGTAACCCTACGTTCTTTTTCTAACTTTGTTCGGTGTTGCACTATGGGAGATATGGCCCACTCCCGGACTGCACGCCAACCCTGAAGCGAGCTGCAGCAAAATTCTGCTTAACCACTAAGCAGATGCTGTGCATCCTGCCTCCAGCACTGAATGCGCCAGTGAAGGTTGAGACACATCCAGCCTGTAAAACCGCACAAAAGTTAGCGGCATGGCCCAGCTAGCTACTGCACAAATATCCTGGACTGACAAACCCACGAAACAGGGCCCAAGATGTGGCCATGCTCCTTGTAGAATGAGCCCTCATCCCCAGAGGGTGTTCAGCACCCTTACACCTATATGAAAGGCTGATTGCTTCTACAATCCACTGTGCCAGACTCCGGCGAGACACAGGTTTGCCTTTATGGGCCGTGGCCCAAGAAACAAACAACTGGTCTGATTTTCTGAGACCAGCAGTCTTGCCCATATAAGCCCTTAAAGCTTGAACAAGGCAGAGACAATTAAGCTTCTGCTCTTCTGCTGAGGAAAAAAGAGGTGGGTGAAAAGCCAGCAGCTCCACAGGGGAGCAGCTATAAGACGACTCCATTACTTTAGGCACAAAAGCTGGATTGGGCTGCAGACACACCTTAAGCCGGACGTACACTGTGCGACTTTTTCACTCGTAGCACTCAGCTTCAGCTCAAACTGTACGACTTCCTCGCAAGGCAGATCTCACGAGTCATGTGCTCACACTGTACGACCCAGTTCTCGGATGCGACCTGACTGCTCACACTGTACGTCTGGTAGCAACACGTCAGACCTAAAAATATGCTAAAAATAGCCGTCTTTACACAACACGTCAGGCTTTTTTGTCTTGTTTTGCCTGTTGTCCTTCGGGAGTGCTGCAGGAGGACATACAGGGATTTATGGGAGTTGCATGAGGAAAACGAAATAAAGAAAGTAAATCTGTGTTTTGTGATCAGTTTAATTTGACATGAACACGACAAACACGCTTTCTTGACCATCTTTGTGAGTAAAAAAAACGTGTAGAAACAAAAACGAACAGCGTGTGTTATTAGGGAAATAGCGGGCGAGCGGTGTTGATGCAGGATTGCGCCATGAGCGGTTCTGATACTTTTTGGGTCGCAGCTGCTCGCAGCACCGCTTCAACAGTGCGATACCACCACGAGGGACGAGCAAAATATTAAACACACCAGAAGTTTGTGCAAGCTCACGACTGCTGATCGGTAGCTGGTCACGTGGTGTTAATCACCTCTCGTGAGCCCCTGTACACTACACCACGCTCGGCGCAAAACTCGCCCCGATCTTGTGGATTCTCGCACGAGTGGAAAATCGGCTCAAAAAAGTGAAAAAGTCTCACAGTGTACGCCCGGCTTTAGTGTAGCCAGGGGCCCACCGTAAACAAGAGGGACTGACTGACCATGCCTGAAGGTCACTCACTCTCTTTGCTGTAGTTAAAGCTAAGAGCAGTGCAGTTTTTAAAGAGAGAAATTTCAATCCAGCCCCATTTCATGTTTTCGATGGTTTGAGATAAATAAATAAATAAAATAAAAATAAAAAAATCTACAGGTTCAAAAGGATGATGGCAGAGGGCCTCCAGAACAAGAGAGGTCTCACAGTGATACCAGTGGCCTAAAGACTGGTAGCTTACGGCAAGCACCCTTCATGAAGCAACTCACTAATGGTTGTTGCCCCACTGGTTTGTCACCAAACCCCACATGGCATGCAGAAATTGCAGCCAGATGAACTTTAATAGTGGAGAAAGTGTTACCCTTGTCCATCAGACTCTGCAAAAAACAGAGTACATCCACCACCGAACACTGAAATGGGATAACAAGTTTTCTTCACACCACACCTCAAAAACCCTCCATTACAGCTGTAAAGAGAGCGAGTTGAGGGGGCCCTAGCGTTTTGACTGGTGTCAATGACACTTGGGGGCAGGCCTGCCACCCTGCCACGCTCAGATTCCACCTCTCACGGGCCAGGCCCACAGAGACAAGCGGTCTGGGTGAGGGTGATAAATCTCTCCCCTGGCTTGGGACAGGAGATCCCTGCGGATCCCTGGAGCCACCAAGATCAAAGACAGGCCCTGTTCCCTTACTCTTATTAGAATGGAGGAAATCAGACTGAGAGGAGGAAACGCGTACAGCAGCACTCTCGGCCACTGGTGAGCCAATGCGTCGACTCCCAGAGGTGCGTTCGCGTCTGTCAGGGAGAAGAAGAGTGGGTAGTGGGCGCTTCTTCATGAGGCGAAGAGATCTATGGTAGCCTGACCAAATTTCTGCCATATTTGGGAGTGGAGTTTCCATTCTCTGTACAGAGGATTTCCTCTGGACAGAAGGTCTGCCCCTCTGTTCAAGCTGCCCGCCACATGTGTTGCGCGGACTGAGAGGAGTGTGGAGCTGCACCACACAATTATTTCCTTAGCTAGTGAGTGAAGCTGTAGGGAGCGTGCCCCGCCCTGACGGTTGATATAAGCTACCACTGTGGTGTTGTCTGTCTTCACTAAAGCCTGATTTATGCTTCTCCGTCTGCGTCAGTGCGGAGACACGCAATGCCATTATCCGTCCTTGCGTAGGGCTCCGGCAGGCACGCAAGTACGTACGGAGTCGAGCCCACTTTTTTAAACATCCGTCGAACGAGACGGATTACACAAGCTTGTGATTGGTCAGGACGCCGCCATTGCAAAGAGAGCCGAGGATAACTAGCGGCAGACATGGAGAAGCTTGAAGAATACCTTGCGGAAAAACTAAAAACATGAACGTTTAATTCTCCCGTGACTGGAAGAGTGAAAAGATGCGCAGCAAGCGTATTATTTGTGGACGGAAATGACAGGAAACGTGGGTTTAGAGGTGGGGAGCGCATGAAGAGGTGGGAGAATGAGAGACAAATATGTCTGTGTTAAAAGTCTCTTATATACACAAAAAACACAATATAAACACATTATCTTGGACCGGATACATAACAGGATACCACAGAACAGCGCTTCGCCCTCTGTTGACCTGCCGGGCAATTGCTTTGCAACACTCTCCAGGAGACAGAGAAGTATGAGAGCAAAACGCTTCTGTCAATCCGTGCGTGTCTGTCCCTTGCGGAGCTGACGGAGAAGCTTAAACCTGGCTTAAGACATGATGGTCTCTTAAGTAGGGCAGGAAGTGCTTTAAAGCTTGAAACACTGCTAGGAGTTCCAGCACATTTATGTGAACCCGTTTCAAACTGCGTGACCAAACGCTGTTCACTGCTCTCCCCATCAAGGTGGCCCCCCAACCTGTAAGGGACGCGTCCGTCGTCATGGTAACTCTGGACACCACCGCCCCCAACAGAACCCCAGTTGTGAGATCCGTTCTGTCTCTCCAAGGCTGGAGAGCCGACATGCACGCCTGAGTTATTTTCACTCTGTGGTGGAAATGACGGCGGGAGCACAACCTCACCCACTGCTGAGCATCTCTCATCATAAGAAGCCCCAGTTGCACCACAGAAATCATTGACGCCATGAGGCTGAGAAGGCGCAGGCAAAGTGTACGACGCACGGTTTCCTAACTGAAAATGTGCAACACACTGTATGAAGGATGCGATCTTCTCTTCTGACAGCGAAACGCGATGAGAGATAGTCTATCTGAAGACCCAGATATTCTATGCACTGTCTGGGGAATAAACTGCTCTTTGTCCAGTTTATTTTGAACCCCAGGTCGGTCAGATGGCTCAACACCACCAGTGCATTGCTGGCTGC